AGGAAGGGCACCCGGAGGGTTGGAAGGGAAGGAGGTTGCCGGCACTGCCAGGCCCCGGGGCGCAGGGGAGAACCTGCCTCCAGCTCTGTCCCCACCACCCGGGGAGGCAGGTGGCAGGCGCCAGCCCTGTTTTTATCCCCTTAACCAGGGAGTGAAACGGGGAGGACAACAGGGTCATGCATTGTACCTGTCCTCTGGCCTCAGCGGGAGAAATACAGAAACGCCCAGCGAGGCTGTTCCCTGGGTCTGACTCGCCAGGCCACGCTTGATGGAGGCAAAAACATAGTTTAGACTTAACGACTGTCAGCACGAAGAAGTGAAAGTCCTTACTGCAACTCAAAGAGACTTCTTAAGGTTCCCAAAGAGTAGGGAACTCTCAAGTAGGCAGGCTGCCCTGAAAACAGCTGTGCAACAGTAGGCCCGGGATGACCTTAGAGATGTAATTTGGGGTCCGCTAGCAGAGAGGACTAGAAAATAAGACTCACCTTCATGACCACTCCTCAAAATATTCCTACTCTTTTTTCAGCCCTTACCGAAGTGGAGGAGAAGCACCAATAGTGACACTTGTGTCAGGTGTACTTCCGTGGTCATTTAATGAACAGCGCTACAACCTGTTCGCCTGTTCTGTAATTTCATCCTGTCTGCAAATGCGGATTGCCCTGAAAATAGCTCTGCTGGTAAACAGCTCTGGAAAAAAAGAGTGATTCAAATGTCAAAATCATAATTAATGTAGTTACAAGGTACAGCCTGACAAAAATGCTTGATTTGATGACAGCAAGAGCTGGAATGCAGGCAAATGCGTGCTGGGAGAACCGCCCCAGTGGGAAAGCTGCTTTTCAAAGTGATCAGACATTGACAGGCTAAGTCACAGCAGCTCAGCCCCGAGATACAATGTCAGGATCGCTGTAGGGTCAATTTGTCATTGGCTGCTCTCCTGTTTGTCCTGGTTTTGGCTGGGATAGAGTTAATTTTCTTCCTAGTAGCTGGTATGGTGCTGTGTTTTGGATTTAGGATGAGAATAATGTTGATAACACACTGATGGTTTAGTTGTTGCTAAGTAGTGCTCACACCAGTCAAGGACTTTTCAGCTTCCCATGCTCTGCCGGGTGCACAAGAAGCCGGGAGGGGGCACAGCCAGGACAGCTGACCCAGGCTGGCCCAAGGGCTATTCCATACCGTATGGCGTCATGCTCAGTAGATAAACTGGGGGAAGAAGAAGGAAGGGGGGGGACGTTTGGAGTGATGGCATCTGTCTTCCCAAGTAACCATTACGCGTGATGGAGCCCTGCTTTCCTGGGGATGGCTGAACGCCTGCCTGCCATGGGAAGTAGTGAATGAATTCCTTGTTTTGCTTTGCTTGCTTGCGCGGCTTTTGCTTTACCTGTTAAACCATCTGTATCTCAACCCACGAGTTTTTTCACTTCTACTCTTCCAATTCTCTCCCCCATCCCACCGGGGGGAGCGAGCGAGTGGCTGTGTGGTGCTTAATTGCTGGCTGGGGTTAAACCACGACACTGTTTTACTTTTCTGGGTGCTTTAAAGTAAAAACTTCAAAGAAGATTATCTTGATAATGTCTACAATAACATATATTTTAGTTGAATTCAAATCTTTGTGTGTTGCTTAAGTTTTCTGTATGCAAATTATATCGATCCAACCTAAACCCAAGAGCACTTCCCATATACATTACATCATTTAACTCTCACTGACCATAGGCAGGGCACAGACCTGGAATCCTCATGGGACCCTACACTGCTCCTTGCTGTTCTGGTGTTGCTTCAGCATTTACCAGCTTCTGCAACAGTATTCTTACCACAGGGAATAAAAAAAAAAAGAGACTTTCTAATAATTCTGTGCCTGTAATATAAAACAATATAATGCTTAACTCTTAGTAGTGACTTTCTTGTAGCTGTCTGAGAAAAGTGTATAAAAGTGAAGGCAATTTTAGCAGAGCTGATGAGATTTTTAGAAATAGTTCTTTTGCAAGATTACAGAACTCTGCTGAATTGCATGCATTGACTTTTATGAATATTTATCAGACTGCAACAAAGCTCATCCTAAGAACACCACTACATTTTAATGATGTGAAAGGCAGAATAGGCCAAGCCTTTCATGTGCTTTATATCTTGATTTGGGGAATTTAAAGTCAGAACAGCTGAAAGAATACAGAAATGTTCAGGGACATGAAAGTGCATTTTGCATAGTTTTAATTGTTGGATCTTCTACATTACACCTCCTCTTCAAGTTAAAAATACTAAATCTGGGACATTTACATTTAAAATAAGGCAGTTGTGACAAAAATAGGACTTTTGCAAATAAATTAGAAAGAGTGAGCTATTTTTTATTCTGATAATTTAAAAACTGAAAACCTGAAAATCCAACACATCTGTAAATTTAAGAAGATCACTAGCAGAGCTGACAAAAAAAATGTTGCCATGCACAGAGGTTTTAAATATTATAACAAAAGTTGCTGGTCTGCCCTAGCACTGTGTGGCTGCTTCATTACGGGAATAGTACTCTGGCTGAAGAAGTCACTCTCAAAGGAAGTTCAGGAGTGTGTCTGTTTTTCCTGACTCCGCATGTCAGCAATATACACGGCATGAAATGATCTCTCCTACTGTTCTCACCCACAAATTAAAAGGCAGTGCGGGACAAGGACAAGAGCCTGACTGTGCTGGTTCCTGTAGGCTCTTGCTTTTTGTCCTTTTTTATAGCATCAGAGAAAGTCAGAGGTTAAATGAGGAAAGATTAACTGAAAAAAGCAAGAGAGAAAAATAGGGAGAAAAAATGATTTGGGAGGAGAAAGGAGGAAAAGAATTCTCCAGGCACAAAAAGACAAGGATGATTTTACGAGCAATACATGGGCCTGGCAACAGACAGCTATTTCACTGATTCCCTGAGCTGGGAAAAGACATGTTACTTTTTTGCTTCTGGAACAATCAAAAAGCCAAGAGCTCTCATGTATTCAAGGATTTTGAGGAGGCCTTCTGAGACAGTTAACAGCAGTTAGAAGCAGATGATGGTGGCCACCTAAGGAGTGCCACTGAATACAGGGTGGGTACTGGGGGGCTCTCCAGGGTACTGGGTACTCAGGGTACTGCAGGACTCTCATGTTGGGAGGACTCTGAAAGAGTATATAGGAGCTTTAGGGGGTACTGGGTTTACTGGGGAGGTACTGGGTAGCTCTGGAGTCTATTAGGAGCACCACAGGGTACTTGGGGGCCCTGTTGGACGCGGGGCGGGGGGGGGAGGGGTTCTGAGGGCTGGGTATCGGGTGAGTGAGTGGGGTTCCCACACTGTTTCCTATGGCTCTGTCAAGCTGAGCTGCTCTACTCCTGAGTTGCCCATTTGCTTCCTGTTTCACATTTTCCCTACCCTCAGCAATGGATGATCCAGGGGAACCGGAGGCTTGGATGGTCAGTACACTGGACTACACTCCCAATACTATTTTCCCAGGGTGGTAGATTGTTACTACATAATAAAAGCATCCTCATTCAGTCCATCCTTGCAGAATATTAACATTATTATGGATGGTTTCTAGCTCAGAATGTATCAAGGCAATGAGTGATTTCTTTCAAATTTGAAGCCATAGATTTTATAGCTTAGTTTAAAAGTATCTTATTTTCCAAAAGTAACGGTCAGCATGACATAGGTTATTGGAACTAAGTCACTACATAAGACTGGCTTGTTTTCTGTCTAAATTCAGAGTATATATGCTTTATTTATAACGCATTTGCGGTCGTTTTATTTTACATGTCTTCAAGGGGGAAAAATTTAATGGAGAACGCTGCATAAGAGTTCCATTGCTGTTGGAACTTGTCACAATTAAAATATGAAAGATACTGTTAAAAGTGCCAGATCTGGAAAAGTACTTAAAAATGTCGTAGCATCTGTATTTGTACCTGAGTAAAACTGTAAAGCTTATCAGTCCTTTGTTAAATCTGATAATGTGGTTATTAATAGGAAATACTAAATAGGTCTACTGAGAAACGTGATTCCTTTGTGTATTATAAAAGCATAGTCCTCCAACAAAACACCATAGATATGTGTCACATG